GTACTGCTCGCGATCACCAAGTGCGAGGCTGAGAGCAGCGCATGACCTGTTGTAGAACTCACGCCGCAGATGCGGAAATGACAAGTCCAAATCGGGCGTTGCCACGATTTTCTGCCAATCCGTGAGCCAGTCACGTGTTGGTGTGCTCCCTTGAGCCATCGTGAAGATGCGGTTGACGGCGAGTGTCGGGGCGTCGTCGACAATGAACCGCTTCTTCCATTCCTTTGTCATGTCCTCCCAGGAGACCTTGTACAGGTCTGAAACCTGGACGCCGTGGATGGTTGCCATGTGGCTGAGACAGATCTGACAACCTCCCTTGGTGTTGAACTGCTCATTTGTACAATCAATATGTCAAATAAATGAGACGTTGTAGATCCGGCTTCAGCTTTAATAGGCTTTGTTTGTCAAAAAGAGAGTTATGTTTGCTTCGCGCCTGGTCGTTCCTTTTAAGGACGATTGGTTCCGTTGCTAACTAAATATACACCAAATTCTCCTTTGGGTGCTTCTACACAGGTGTACGTAGAAGAAGCTGGTACAGACACACCCTCCGTGTAAAGCTTAATGAATAAAATTTTTGTGTATTTTGACAGGGTAGTTATGAAAAGAGATCACTGTGACAAGTTTTTCCAAAAAATTGTACATGCCAGAGCACTGATGAACAGATGGTCAGGGACTTCGTGAATCCCCAACTCCGTTGTAAATCCTTGCCACCAGACGACCGGGTCTTGATGTGTGTAGTCATCAAATTTCTCGATCCGGAACGTCGGCATCTTGTATGGCCTCGCCGAGCTGTTGTTGTGGCTGTGGTCAGTCTGCTGTTGCTGACTGATCTTAGTGTCCAGCAACTCGAACCGCTGGCTGATGGTGGCCGGCTTTGTGAAGGCACTTATGTCTCCTAGCATTGCCACTATGTGGTCAACGCATTCCTCCAGTTGGCGGCTAGAGGATGCACTGCTGGAAGCTCCAGCATCTGGTCCAGGCACAGCCTGTTCCAGGCCCAGTACACGGGCGTCCAGTGCCCGTGTGGCATCCTCGTGCTGAGTCTTGTGATTCCGCACGGCCCGCTGGAGGTTTGCCAGCTCGGAGTGTAGGTGGTTACATGTGTAAACCAACCTGCTCACGAGCTTGGCCATGAACTCCTTATGATGTTCTTCTGGTGTTGGCTCGTCGCCGTTCGGTTCAAAGTGCCAGTACTTGAGTTTCTCGATGTTGTTGGCTTCATGCCGCTGCAGTAGAGCCTGGGCTTCCTTGCGGCGAGCCTGGGCACCTGCGTCTGCTTCGGCCTGTCCGCAGCTTCTTTGCTGTTGCCGCTTCATCAGCCTGTAGCTGGGCAGCCTTGACTGCCAGCTGGCATTGTTCCTCAGCCTCGATTGCAGCGAGCTGAGCATGGACGCGCTTTTTGTAGTCGGCAATGGGCTCATTGGCCAGTTGGCCTGGCAGGTCCGTCATGTTGCTGACGTGGCACTTTGTCTGACGTGACACTGTGTCTGACGTGGCACTGCTGACATGGCACTGCTTACGTGGCACTGTGTCTGACATGGCACTGCTTACGTGGCACTGTGTCAGACGTGGCACTGCTGATGTGGCACTGCTTACGTGGCACTGTGTCTGACGTGGCACTGCTGACGTGGCACTGTGACCTGACACTGCTGACGTGGCACTGCTGATCTGGCACTGTGATGTGGCACTGCTGACGTGGCACTGTGACCTGGCACTGTGACGTGGCACTGCTGATCTGGCACTGTGACGTGGCGCTGTACCGAACCGGGATGCATGCAAGGGGTGGGTGGGAGGGAAAACGTAGGTAGGTAACCAACCCAACAATACTTTCCTCCGGCCCTAATCAACAGATNGAAAGTGAAGGAAGGGGGAAGTAGACGGCGAGGGTGACGAAGGTGAAGGTGCCGGCAGCCATAGCCGAGGTGAGGAGTTGACCGGGCGTTGACCAGACCGTTGACCAGAGGGTTGACCGAGGGTTGACCCGAGGGTTGACCAGGCATTGACTAGGGGTGTTGACCAAGCGCTGACCGGGATAGACCGCGTTGACTCGGCGTTGACCAAGGCGTTGACCGGAGCTGCTGCCCAAGATTTTGACCAAGCTGGAGCTGGTGATATCGCGTTGACCCTTCAGCCTATCCCCTTACCCTGTGGATGTGCACTTACCCCACGGTACTTGCTGAGTTGTCTGTCTACTCTTTCTGCATTGAGTCTCTTCTGTCCTAGGTGTAAGGACTCTGTGGATGAAGGATAGGGCCTTGCTGCCAAACCTGCACGGGACTTAGTAGCACCAAAGCTCTACTCTGGCACTTGGAGACCTGGGCATGAGCGGCGAGCGCTCGTTAAACAACTTGTCTAGCCCAATGACCGGTACTGTCCGGCAGGTCTACTGAGTTCAGTGTAGAGGGTCTGAACTCCGAGCTGTGGGCTGAAACAAGGGCCGTCTTTAAGTATCGAGGCCTGGTTGAGCCACTCCCCTACCGGACCTAGTAAGGCTGATCATCTGTGTCTGACGACTCGACTGTCCCGAGGGATACGAACCCCTCCAAGGACCGGTACAGACCGGCGGGCTGCTCGGTGTGGCACAGTAGGCTGGAACGGCTGAGTTGTGGGCTGAAATCGCCAGGAAAAACCAAGCTGATCACGTCGTCCTGTCTGCGACGTTAAAGAATTCTTGAGTTACGGGGGATCTCCTTAAATGCCTCCTAATCAGCTCTTGGTTCTGTAGTGACAGTCTTAGAGTAGTCTTGGGTTAGTAGTGGCCATAGTTGACAGGGTATTATCCTGTGGTCCTTAGGAAGTCAATAAGTAAGTTAGTGTGTCCGGGTAGGGTTACGTGGTGAGGAGTGGGACCCTTGTCGTGCACCAACACCACGATGGACGACTACCCGATGTATGGGTTGCTGGTTGGGTTCTCCCTCTGGGGGACCCTCTGGCGTCTCCTCTTTCCTCTGGGATTTTGGCATACCTTTGCGTGTAGAGTAGGGCCCACTCGAGGTGGTACCGCCACCCAACCATACACGAAGGAGGAGGAGAAGAAGATGGCCGCCATCCTGCAGGAGAGGAAGGAGGCCAAGAAGAAGGCCTTGAAAGAGGAATAGGCGGCCAAACTAAAGAAGATGGAAGAAGAGATGGCCAGGGAGAAAGAGAAGTTGAAAAAGGAAGAAGAAGAGAAGTTGAAGGAGGTGGATGAAGAAGAGGAAGGACCGCCACTGCAAAAGAGTGGGCAGCACAGCGGCAGCAGCAGTGATGAGATGGAGAAGAAGATTTCGGAGTGGGTCGCCAACTTATCCCTGGGTGCGGAGGAAGAGGTTGCTATGTACATCCCCAAGGATGAGCAAGAAGCCGCCATGAAGAAATCGGAAGCAGAAGAAGATATTCTGACGCGGCGGGCGATGGAGGATGAACAGAGGATGGCGTGGAAGCTCGCAGTGATGAGGGAGAAAAAGAGAAGAGTGGAGGCGGAGAATGCAGCAATGCACGAACTAGCGAAGGTGAGGACTGCCGTAACAACACAATTGATTCCGCAAGTGGATCTCCAACGTAAAGTGGAGATCATCGCCCAGAGCGTTGAGCGGTTAGCTAAAGTGCAAGAAAGGCACTTTGAGTTTAGTCGCAGCCAAGAGATATCTGTACGCTCGATGCGAACGGGCTTACGGGACTTTGCTCGCGAGTTAGTAGGCGCTGTGGGGTCCGAGGTGACTCACCGCCTCGAGAAGACTGAGCGTTTTTGTGTCGGCGCCATTGAGGGCGTCAAGGTGGCCGCTCCCAAGGAGGAGGAGGCTCGTCCTCGCAGGGAGCCGGTCAAAGTCAAATCCCCTGATTCCTATAGTGGGAAAAGGGAAGAGAACTTTGACAATTGGGAGGCCAATGTTAAGACTTATGTGCATCTGCAACAGGTATCCCCGGATCAGCAGGTCCTAATTGCGATCCACGCGCTTAGAGATGAGGCCACCAGTTTCGCGAGATCCCTTGTTTGTGCTGCCAACTGTAGTGACGATCCAGTTGCGTACTCCTCATTTACGTCCCTCATTGAATTCTTGAAGCTGCTGCGCGAGCGATTCACTGATGTTGCCCGTAGTGTCAAAGCCTCAGATAGGCTTCAGACAATACACTCGCGCCAATCGAAGAGTGCAAGGGCACTCAAGGGCACAATGGATGAGTTAGTGGTTGTTCCTGACCACAAGGTCACAGAGACCCAGTTGGTCAACCTCTTCTACCGGGCCATGCCCGAAGCGCTGCGTGGTCACTTCTTTGACAAGAGTCAGGACCCTGCTATGACTTATGATGTACTTAGCAGGGAAGTGGTCGCGTTCGAGGCGAAGTCTGCGTCTATTTCCACTTTCTGGCACAAAGATTTAGACAAAGGCAAAAAGTGGAAGGGCCGCACTATCTCAGGGCAGGTCAAGACTAAGGATAGCCTTGTGCTCACTCTAGATGAAGGTAGTGTGGATGAAATCCCCTACGATCAGATTGAGTGGGGGTTAGAGGAGGAGGACAGCGGTGCGGGCCAAAGGAGATCCTACGCTGTTGTCGCAGCTGGAGGGAGGCCGCAAGGAGGAAGAGGTGAGGGCCAAGGGGGCCGGGCCTCAGGGAGCCGGCTTCAGGGCGATCAGGGGGTTGGCGGCAGAGGAGGAAACCGCCAAGCGGGAGGAAGGGGTCAAGGTCCCCCGTAAAACCGTCCTAGGAATAGGTCTCCCTACAGGGTAGGAGGATGGCACCCAGGGCTACCGCAGGGTAGGCCTTGGGAATCTTTGGGTCTGGACCAGGCTTTATGGCAACAACGACTGGACCGGGGCCAGTGCATTTTCTGCGGTGACCCGGGCCACATCATCAAATATTGTCCTAAGTACAGAGAGACCCGAACGGCTGCCCAAGGGCCAAAAGGCAGCCGCCGGTAGGGGTAGCAACTGCCCCTACCATTAGGTCATGAGGGGAACATAGCGCTAGCCGGCAGGAGACTCCCACACCACATGTGCCTATGGCAGAGGTTGCAAGCCGGTGTCTAGATAGCTGTCCCGAAATTGCTTGCGTTAGAGTTTCGCTAGACACCTCCCTCACAGGCGTGGCCGAAGAATTGAAAGAGAGGATGCCCGCCTGGGCCAAGATGAAGAAGGAGAATAAAGGGCAGCTGATTTTGTTAGATACAGAGATTTTTAGAAGTAGAGTAGGGGCCCTAGTAGACTCAGGGGCCTCCCGCAGCTATATTAGTACGAGCGCTGCAAAAGTTGAAGCTGGGACTTAAGTCCAGAAACTGACAGACCCCATAGTTAGTATCCTCGCGGACAATCGTACCATGGTTGTAGAGGATTATGTAGAGGGAGTCTAGGCGTATTTCCGCCTAGAGAAAGATGGGAAAGTGGAGAAAGTCCTCCACTCCTTGACTCTCCTCGTAGAAGACAACCTCCCGTTTGATATTGTGTTGGGAATGGATTGGGGAGAGGCAGCCAAGGCAACGCTCCATTTGAAGGAGCACGAGTGTAGGCTCCCTAGTTCGTCAGGCGAGGCTAAGATTGCCCGCCTGTTCCATGTGTCAGGGGTAGAGAATTCCTTGGCGCATTGCTGCCTTGGTGCCCCCGCGTTCGCCAGACTGGTGAAGAAGGAGGGATTGGAGGAACAGGTCTTTGTTGCCTATGTTAGGCCAGTCACTGAGCCTATGGAGGAGAAACCGATGGACCCTGCGATTGCCAAACTGCTGGAAGAGTTCAAGGATCTAACCGAGCCGCCGATAGGAGTAGTACCGCGGTCCATCCAGCACCACATTGAGATAGAGCCTGGCAGTAGAACTCCTAAGGGCGCCGTGTACAGGATGTCCCCACGGGAGTTAGAGGAACTTCGCAAGCAGTTAGACGAGCTCCTCGAGAAGGGTTGGATTAGGCCCAGTTCGTCTCCTTTTGGAGCACCTGTCCTCTTTGTTCCTAAGAAAGAGGGAGACCTGAGAATGTGCATAGACTATAGGGGTCTGAATGCGATTACAGTGAAGAATGTTGAGCCACTGCCAAGGATAGACGATCTTTTAGATCGAGTGCAGGGGGCTAAGTATTTCTCTAAGATAAACTTAAAGTCCAGATATCATCAGACACCCTGATGATCAGTATAAGACAGCCTTCTGGACTAGGTACGGGCATTATGAGTTTAAAGTGATGCCCTTTGGACTAACCAATGCGCCAGCAACTTTTCAGCGGTGTATGAATGATTTGTTTAGGCCGTGGTTAGACATATTCGTTGTAGTTTATCTAGATGACATCCTAGTGTTTAGCCGGACCCTCGAAGAGCATCGGGGTCATCTCAGGCAAGTCTTGGAGAAGCTGAGAGAAGCTAACTTCAAGATCAATGCAAAGAAGTGCGATTGGGCGAAGACCCAAGTTTTGTATCTAGGCCACGTCTTAGACGGAGACGACGTTAAGCCAGAAGATAGCAAGATCACAGCGATTAGAGATTGGCCCACGCCACGTACGCTGACAGAGTTGCGCTCGTTCCTGGGCTTAGCGAATTACTACAGGAAGTTCGTAAGGAACTTTTCCACCATCGCTGCGCCCCTTCGCAGATTGCTGAGAAAAAAGACAATCTGGAAGTGGCACAAGGACTGCACGTCCGCCATGAAGAAGCTAAAGCAGGCGTTGATAGAGTATCCGGTCCTTAAGGTCGTCGATCCGTCCTTGCCTTTTGTTGTTACTACGGATGCTAGCCAGTACGGCATAGGCGCAGTGKTACAGCAAGAYGATGGCAATGGCTATAGACCCGTAGAGTTCATGTCCGCTAGGATGCCTTCAGAGAAGGTTGCGACATCTACCTATGAGAGGGAACTCTACGCTCTCAGGCAAGCATTAGACCACAGGAAGCACTACTTGCTTGGGAGGCACTTCAAAGTCTATTCGGACCATGAAATGTTACGGTGGTTAAGGACGCAGGCCAAGATGACACCTAAGCTTACTAGGTGGGCCACAAAAATAGATCAGTACGACTTTGAGCTCAAGCTTGTCAAAGGGAAGTATAACGTAGTCGCGGATGCTCTAAGTAGAAGGGCTGATTACTTTGGAGCGATAGTGCATTATCTTGATATAGGGAAGGACCTGCAGCAGAGGGTTAGAGAAGCGTACGCGTAGGACCCTATCTATAGTGACCTCCTTAAGAAAGTCAAAGAGGCCCCAGAGACTGAGCCGAACTACCGCACTACCGAAGGGTTATTATTTGAGAAGACTAATGTCTTTGACCGCCTGTGCATCCCCAATAGCGAAGAGATTCGTAGTCTGATCTTGGGCGAATGCCACGACACAGAGGGTCAYTTTGGTTGGCAAAAGACTTTAGCCAATTTAATGCGCGCGTATACCTGGCCAGGGATGAAGAATGACTGCGTAGAGTATGTTCGCAGTTGTAAGGTTTGCCAGCGTAACAAAAGTTCTACGCGCGCCCCGTTAGGCCTTCTCAGACCCTTGCCCATTCCAGATCAGCCGGGAGACTCAATGTCAATAGATTTTATGGACACTCGAGTCAAGAGCAGGCATGGCAAGAGCCAAGTCATGGTCATAGTTGACCGCTTTAGCAAGTACGCAGTTTTTGTTCCTTTGCCTTCTGAGGCGCGCACTGATTTAGTCATACAGAGGTTCTTTGACTGTTGGATTAGTGAGAACGGAATCCCGCTGTCTATAGTTAGCAATAGAGATAGTCGCTTTACTAGCCAGAACTGGCAAGAACTCATGGGAGTATACGGATCTAAGTTGTTGATGCTCCTTTGCCTTCTGAGGCGCGCACTGATTTAGTCATACAGAGGTTCTTTGACTGTTGGATTAGTGAGAACGCAATCCCGCTGTCTATAGTTAGCAATAGAGATAGTCGCTTTACTAGCCAGAACTGGCAAGAACTCATGGGAGTATACGGATCTAAGTTGTTGATGTCGTCCGGCCGCCATCCTGAGACTTACGGTCAGACAAAGCAAATGAACAAGATCCTACAGCAAGTTCTGCGCATGTATATTAGGCCAGATCAGATTAACTGGGATGAGATGTTGCCTAAAGCAGCTAGTGCGTACAATAACAGCGTGCATTTAGCCACCTGTCGCGCTCCCAACGAACTGCACAAGTCCTTTAGACCGCGCAGACCGTTTGAGGGACTCAACCGGGATCAGATTTAGAGATTGTCGTCGGGGACCCGGGAGTTCGCTGTACAGCACAAGAAAGAACTAGCTATTGTTGTAGAAAACCTCAGGAAAGCCCAGCATAGGATGATAGAACAAGCAAACAAACATCGTCGCCCTTCACAGTTTCAAGTAGGCGACTTAGTCTGGGTTAGTTCGAAAGAGTTTGCACCTGAGGAGAAYATCTCGCAGAAGTTACTGCCCACATATAGAGGACCGTGGCCTGTTCTTGAAGTCAAGGGCGGTGAAGATGGACCGTCCTATACAATAGAACTACCAGCACACCTCCACACGCATCCAGTTTTCCACGCATCGAAGTTGCTACCTTGTCAAACAAGTGATCAGTTTCCATCTCGTAGATCAATGATCCCACCTGATATGGATGGAAGGTATGACATAGACGGTATAGTGGCTGAGGATGTCTTCAAAACTGGAGGTAGGGGTCGTCCGCAAAAACAGTACAAGGTTCATTTTAGTTATCAAGAACCGGAAGACAACCGCTAGTTTACAAGATCTGAACTTCTAGAGACAGCTCCCGATATAGTCCGGGCCTATGAAAGACAGCAGAAGGGTAAAGGTCCTGCCTTGGACTGAAATTTTATCGGAGGACCTTGAATTGAGGCCGGCGGGAGTGAAACGGTATTCACCAGTTCGCAGTAGCAAATGCAGGGCTCGATCCCTAGTTCCCCATCTTACCTGTGTACAGTATTGATGACAACCCATAGATTTGAACCTGCGACCTGTCGAAACGCTAGTGGTAGGTAGATTGTCGTAGGTCACAGCTTAGAAGGGAATCGAACTGTAGACCTGTAGGGTAGGAGTCTAGACAGTTCCGAAGTCGTAGCTGTAGGATGTCTGAAGGGTCAAGGTCGTAGCTGCTACTTACCTGAAAGGGCAAAGTTGTAGCTGCTACAGTACCGAAAGGCCAAAGTAGAAGTTTCTAGAACTGGCCTTTCGGAGTCAGCCCCTGTTTAGGCCGAGGCAAGTGGGCAAGTGG